AGACTCAAGCAGAATTAACAGATGGCAGAAGACTCAGTATGGAGCTGACACACCCAGGAACAGGAGAGCTGTACAATGTGGAGAACAAAGTTTAGTGGGCTGGGAATCATCCCTTCTTTCTGTAGCTGTCTGTGAGAAGCTGTCACTCATGATCTCCTCCACGGGCTATTTCACGGCACATGGGTGGCTGCTCTCCTATAACATAATCTTACGTTACGTATTTCAATTACTCCCGGCATAAAAATAGCGTTAATTCAGGCTGTGCTCCAAAAGTCCACCCCCTTCCTGACAGGAGGGATTCGTCTTGGAGAATACCTCATACTTTGAGATAATTCCACTCGCTTCTCACATTTGCCTCAAGTTCTCGTTTCTTCGTTTCCCCCCTCCCACACACGTGATGTTGAGGGACGGAAAAACGGGTAGGAAGGAGGGCAAGATTCCCATGTATCAGCTCAGGGAATGACAAGGAGCCAGATCTTCTCCCACGCTGACTGGCACAAGGCAGCTCCAAGAGAACACAGTCTGCCAGCTAAAGGGCATGGCCAGCCCCTTCTCTCAGTTGCCATCTGCAGTACGTACCGGCTGGAGGTGCACACTGCTCAGTCCTGCGGGAACTGGGAAAGAGAGGATACACCACCATTTATCTGGTGGTGTCACCATCTTCCATTCTTGTCCCAGCATGATTTGACCCCAAGGCCTCAGAGCCTGCTCCAGAAGCTCTAAGCCGAACTAAAGGTGGCACAGGGTGCCTGTGGCAGAGCTGGAACGTTGGTAGCCAACAGCACAATGGGTGTTGCTACAGGACTCACTGACAACATCAGCTCCCCCTTCTCCCTTTTGTGCTAGCTGCTCCTTTTATGAACCTGAGCTAGGGACACCTTCATTACAGCTCAGCCCTGTAGCCCTATAGATGGGGAAGATCGCATCAGACCATGGAAAATCCTGATCCAGGACATCTCCAAGTGCATGGAAGCAATGTGTAAATCCAAGGCTGTTCTGCAAAACAGATTACAAGTAGACAGGCTAATCAAGCTTTTTTAGGTTGTATTTGGTCTGAATTTAAAGTTTTGGCAAGATGAAAGTTAACACATCCGCCGGGCATGAAAAATGCACCATGAGTCTTTTGTAACATACTATGCAAAAAGTAATTAAACCCCAGTTCACAACGCATCTTAAAACCTGCAGCTGTGGGATCCTGCATAGAACCCTGAAAATTAACCAACTGGAAAAAACCAAGTGACTATCAACAAAGAGAAAGCGTTACTCCTCCTGTCCAAATAGAGTACTACTGCAAAACACGAAGAGTGGAAAGGGAAAAGAAACTGAAGGTTTCAGACGCTCAGATTTCACCCTCACAGATGACTTCCATAACACAGGGAAGTTACTTCAACTGAAAAAAACAACCCAGAGGTTTTCAGATGCTGGGACTACCTGAGGATCTGGTAGCCTGCAACGGAGCACAAGCTCTGTTTGGATATCACTGTTTCAAGGTACTGGGCACTGATGAACACCTCAAACACACCATTCTCCAAGCAGTGGAATGCTTGGTGTATTTGGTGTTGCCAGTTTTCTTGTGTTTTCCAGTGGCTTCCGACCCTTCATTGCAATTGCACCGCCGAGTCTACACATGAATGAATGACAGCTACATACAAAGTAAAGGAGGAATGAATTCAGGGACTGAAAAACAGAACCTCCATTGCCATGTAAACACAGTCACACCCTCCACCTAAGCAGGCCAAATAAACAGCAAGCCTGTGAAACATCATTTTAACATGTTATAAATCTGGACTACAGGAATCGATGGGAATTTTGCCATTAACTTCCCTGGGAACAGACTCAACATCTTAGACATGAATACTTCACACCACTGCAAACAGTATTTGTTTTACAAGTGTTGCTCAGTTCATCGAGATGGCTGAAGTGTGACAATAACACAAGATCCCTTTTTACTCTGACTATTCCTGCCAGTAGATTCGTGTTCCTCCTGTTTGCCCTTAATGTGTGGGCTATGTGATATAGGACAGGATATGCCTGTGATTGTAAATGGCCATATTCTAGTCACTTCTAGTGTATATTATCTGGAAGTAAATTTTCTATCAAAATGCACATATTAGCAGCTTCATTAAGAGAATGGTTCATTTATGCACAGGCTGAGTGCTATGCTTCGCATACAGAGCTCAGGATGCATCTCCAAATGATGCTTTTCACCAGTCTGTGAGAACACCACATGGATTTGATTTGTAGTTTGTTTGTTTTGCTACTTTTGCAGCAGAAGATTGGGAGGAACAGTGGTGCTGACAGCCAGAAAGTACTGCTGAAATGGAAAACAAGCTTAAAAAAACACCTCTGCCTGTTAAAAAAAGAAAAGCCAACCCCAAAATAGGATTAAATCCATTTGAGCTGGTGCAGCGAGTTGGTGATAACACAACCAACGTGGCTGCAGAATCCAGATTCACCTCTCTAGCTTTCAAGCCAGCACAGATTGGGAGCCTTATACACTTGCCCTTGGAAAGGAAGCACAACCTTAGAAGAAGCAGTACTGTAGAAGAACTACCGTTCTCCTTCACCAATGTCTTCTATGCGATGGAAGGCACAACACTGGCTATGTCCAGCAGCCCTGCAGCAGCAGCCAGAGATAATCACACCTCAAGCCAATGGATGGCTTATGGAGTTTGATTCGGAGAAAACTCCAGGAACAAACTTGCCAACAAAGTTTTCAAGCTGACAAGCAGGTATTCTTTATTGCGGCGCCGGGAGACACGGGGGATAAATCCTCCTAACGTGTGTCCTCTAATTGCCCCACAAGCTGTCCTTTTATAGCCCCTGGGCATACATACATATTCATGAGGCTACATATGGATTACATCATTTTCCAGAGAGTTCCCCGCATGCGTACAGATTGTGGTGGTGGTCTCTGAGGGTCGTTACTTCTTCCAACGATCTTCATCACTTCTGGCAGCCTTTGAAGCACGCGCAGTAGATGCTCATACCAGTTTAATTGGTTCGTTAGCACCAGAGACATAATAATCCTCCTATCCTCCTACTTATCAGTTAGTTTACTGTAGCCCATCCTGGACACCTGCCATTCCCAGATACTCCTTATCCCTGTGTCCTGTTCTTCTAGACTGTTTTTCTTAAAACTAGGCCAACTATAACAATTTATCTTGTGAGAATTCTTAGTATGTTCTCTAGTTGTACTGTTTTTTTTTCTCTATGTATCCTGCACCTCAGTAATTTTCCATTGCTACTGTTACAAAGCCATCAAACTTAACATTACTTAAAACTTCTTATAAAAGTTTCTATATCCCATTTTGTGATTTTGTGCCCCTTTGTCTCAGTTCTACCCTCCTAGGATGAAGAAGAACACAGTGTGTTTTCTACCGCGCTGTGGAAAGCAGCACAGTTTGAAGATCATTCAAATGAGGAAAAGGACAGGGTAAGTCAGGTTTTCTCTTGTACATCTGCAGTGAAGATGTAGTGTCTTTGACGCCAACGGAAAACTACATTCACTTTGAAAGCTCTGGCTTTGAACACCTCTCTCTGAAGATGGTGGGAAATTAAGTGCTAAATAACAATAACCTAAAACCCCATGAAAGCACTCAACCAGAGAGTTTCTCTTTGATGCATCACTCCAGGTTCTGCAGGTGGCTGCGCACAAGGGCTGTGAAAACAACACACCTGAGCACGCAGCATTACCGCTGGGAGCACAATGCCATTCTTTCCACAAGAAAATTCGGAGCTATTTCAAACAGTGGAAGTTTCCCTCCGAAATACACCTGCAGGTTCAGAGCACACACACTGGAATAGCTGGCTTGTACACATTGCACACAGTTTACCACTCACTTAGGTGATATCTTAATCAGAAGAACTTAGAGAATTTCAGATTCGTTAAAGAATTAAGCCACCTGAAACACACCAAGCAGTTAAGTAGCTCTTTAAAAGCAGGGCAAGCTGGGAGAAACTCTCATACCACAGAGAAGGCATCTGCAGTGGCCAGAGTAGCAGAAAAGGCTGACAAGAAAGGACTGTGAGAGATTTAAGGTATGGATTAACGGGTTTTGGTTTGTTTAAACGTGATGGTTTTGCCTGCAGCTGGGATATCTGTGTTTAGTTCTCAGTTCCAAGTGCCTTTGTAACTGTTCAAAGTCTAGGCTCTGCTTGCAGTGAGTATTTCTGAACTAAAAAGCAGTAAAGTGAAATAGGGAAGGGATTAAAATTCTTCCCTGTGAGGGTGCTGAGGCACAGGGTGCCCAGAGAAGCTGTGGCTGCCCCATCCCTGGCAGTGTTCAAGGCCAGGTTGGACAGGGCTTGGAGTAACCTGGTCTGATGGAAGGTATCCCTGCCCGTGGCAGGGGGTTGGAACTGGATGAGCTTTGAGGTCCTTTTTAACCCAAACTGTTCTGTGATCACAGCCACAGCTCACGGATGCGTTCCATGAGTCACTCACTAGGGACTTCATATTGAGTGAATCCCCAGTTTCTCCCGACATCGGCTCCTTAGAGCAGTGCTACACGACCAACATTTTCCAAGGGTCTCCTGAGGGAACTCGGGCAGCTTGCCTTTGAGCGCCTTGGTCCCCGGACTAACATCACCGTTCGCAAGATCCATGACAGCCCGAAACCACACCATTCCCGGCTGGAGCGGACGGACGCACGGGTCTGAAGGCGCGGGGATGGGCGCTCAGACCCCGGGGCCTCAAGCCCCGCTCCCTGCCCGCTGCCCGGGAAGCCGTGCTACTGCGGCGGGGCGCTCCCAAGGAACACGACGGCTCTCCCGGGGACCCCGCCGCAAAACTTTCCTCCGGGGCGCAGGGACTCGCCGGCTCCTTCCCTTGTTCCCTCCCTCCCTCCCCGCGGCGCCGTCGTCGAGGAAAGTTGCCTGCGCATCGGGGTCTGGCCCCGGTGGGGAGAGCGCGTCCCGCCGACAGCAACCGCTCGCCCCATGGACCCCCCCCTCCGCCCCGCCGCCTGTCCCCAGTGCGGGGCTGCGGAGCTCCTTACCCAGCCCCGGCACGAAGGTGTTGAGGAAGAGGCAGATGACAGCCACGGGGAACGGCATGTAGGGGATGGCGGCGCGCAGGGGGCCCTTCTTCTCCCGGACCTGCACCACCACCCCGCTGGAGGGGGCCGCTCCCCGGCTGGGCTCCCCGCTCTCGCCGTCTTTGGGCAAGGGATCCATGGCCGGCGCGGTGCAGCCGAGGGTGCCGGTGCCCCGCCGGGCCACCAGCTGCCGCCAAGCGCGCTCCCGCCGCCGCCGCGCGGCCCCGCGCCGACCCCTCCCCTCCGCTCCGCTCCTCCCGCCCCTCACGGGCTGCCGTGCCCGCCACGCCGGCGCCGCTCCCTCCGCATCCCCGCGGCCCGTTATCCCCCATCACCCCAGCGGGGCTCCCGCCTCGGGTCGCTCAGCGGCTGCTCACCGGTTGGAAGTGTCGCTGCGCCGAGTGACTGAGGCGGTTTGGGCCGCGCTGCTTCCCCCCCATCGCCGTCTGTTAGGGGTATCCGGCCCCCCAAGCAGGCACCGAACTTGGCCAACTCGTCCGAAATCATCGGGTTCGAGCTTAAACAGGTAGACTTAGGTGGATATAAAGAAATTCTTCCCGGTGAGGGTGCTGAGGTGCTGGCACAGGGTACCCAGAGAAGCTGTGGCTGCCCCATCCCTGGCAGTGTTCAAGGCCAGGTTGGACACAGGGGCTTGGAGCATCCTGCTGTAGTGGAAGGTGTCCCTGAATGTGGCAGGGGGTGGAACTGAATGAGCTTTAAAGGTCCCTTCCAACCTAAATCATTCTATGAAAGCAGGCTGGACTGTACTCAGGACTGTGGGAACACTTGGGGTGTGTACCCCTCTGAGGGGTGCTGCTCCCCCCTAGACTGTACTGGGATGGGAAGAGAGGGTTCAGCTGGTTCAGCTCGATCTTTGGGAAGGGGAAAAGCCATTTTGGCATGGAAGAGTGTAGAAGGGGGTGAAAATAATGCCCTGTGTGGTTCTAAAAGTAGCTGTGCTGTGAAGGTGTAAGAAAAGGTGTAAATTGAACCCACACTTGTTCATTGCTTGAAAAGCCCCACTGTAAGGGGGAAGAGGAGGAAAAAAGAGGAGAGATGCAAAAATGAGACGGAAAAGAAAAGAAGGATATACCCCTGCAAAGCTAATTATGGCTTGGGACAGTGTAAGGATATACTTGAATTCACATCAGTATCACTAAATGAAGTACCCTTTTGTAGGGCTGGTAATTATTGTTTGCTATGCAGTTTAATGGGTGAAATGGTACTAGAACTTGATCATGTCTGTAGTAAAAAATTATGGCGAGGCTGGTCACTGCAGATAGCGTTCAGGAGGGAAAACAGAGCAAATATTAAAGGCATAAATACTGATATAAAACCTAAGTGTGACACACATGGAAGATTTTCGCATAAGAGATAGAGTAGAGCCTGTGCCTTACATGTGCTTCAAAGCTGTGTTTTTGGTAAGGAATTCCTGTGAAGAATTTAGATCCCAACATAAAATCCTTACATATTTATATATAGCCATTGGAATGCCACCTGACAAACACGATTGAACAGTTCAATTGACTTCAGTATGACTTAATACCATGAAAAAGTTAGGTAAACTCAATGACACAGATGCAGAATCCTGTTCCTAGATTATGTTTTCTTTATGTTTCTAACAGTTGGGTTCTGAGCCATAAAATCATCGACATCCCAGGTGAAATCTCTTATTTTTAACCTCAGGCTTTCTTTGCTGATCTTCTGAGTGCCTTTCATGCGAAAAACCTTTTCACTTCATTGTGATTAAATGCACAGTTCAGACGTGTTTCTGGAGCTTATTAGCCAGCCTGGCTTGGCTATTTATTGGGTTTTTATGGTGACATTTATTTCTATCAAAATAGTTCATGGCAGCCTATTATATGCCCTAGACACAAAGCTGCTGGAGAGCTGCACTGTTCTCTTGGAAAGATTTGATGTAACTGATGTGAATTTGATGTTGTTTGATCGAACTACAGCCAGAAGAGAAATCTTTATGGTATGAATATCGACTGACTGCAAGGTGGTTGGAATGCTGTCAGTAGCTTGCAGTGATATAATTCTCTGTAGACTCAACCAGATGATGAACTGATAGAGGCTCAGTCATACACAGGTGAGCCTACATTACCTATACTGAAAACAAGCAAAAGGCCATCGTAAGTATAGCCCAAAATGAAAAAAACAAAGATGAAGATTAATTAAAACAATATCTTGTCATAAATACTTAATAACAGGCTGTGCTTTTATGGAACGCTTCCCTGGAAGATCTCAAAGCATTTGACAAACGCGAGTTGATGCATTTACTTCTTCAAGATTAGCTGGCAATATGTGAGGCTTGCTCTACCCGCTATTAAAGTGCAGCCCTTCCTAGACTGAGCTGCTGCCAGTGTTTGTGGAGGTTCTCAGGCGCCTCAGGCAGAAGTTATGACTGGCTGGGAGTGTATTAAAGATGCCGTAGTGTAAAAGTTGTGACGTTTCCAAGCTTCTCTCTAAACAAGTGAATTGGTGGCAACATTACTCTGCTGTGATTGTTTCACACTCCTCAAGGGGTGTGTGGCAACCACACAAACCATCTCATACTGAGCACCCTGGGCTGCACGCTTTGCCATTACTCCAGAGACAAGATTCTGTGTGTTGGAGAGGTGAAGGGAGGAAAGACAGTCATTAAAGGAGGTGTATGCTGGGGCCTAGGTAAAAAAATGTAACCCATGGCTAAATGTTTGTTGAGGAATATAAGTTTATCATTTATTAAAAACCAACAATATTAATAATAAGAACACTAAGATGTCATCAGATTTGATCTTTTAAAAACTCATGTCACTTCTCAGCTCACAGAACCAGTATGCATAGTGTTATTTGTTTGCAGTCGAGATAAAAAATGGTTAAAACCAGACAGACAATCCAAACCTGAATTCAAGCTCCCCTGGCTCACCAGTGTATTGACACAGAGGACTGAGGATGCATCCTTCCCAAGCCTTCTTCGGACTTCTCTCCATAGTACTGCTGGGAGAGGCAAGCACTGTAAAACAGACTCATGGAATGGTTTGGGTTGGAAGGGACCTTAAAGCTCACCCACGGGCACAGGGATACCCAGGGATGGGGCAGCCACAGCTTCTCTGGGCACCCTGTGCCAGCGCCTCAGCACCCTCACAGGGAAGAATTTCTTCCTAATGTCTAATCTAAATCTACCCTTTTCCAGTTTAAAGCCATTCTCCCTTGTCATGTCACTACTTACTCTTACCCACAGTCCCTCTCCAGGACTCCTGTAGGTCCCCTTTAGGTACTGGAAGACAAGCATTGCAGCTGTGCCTCAAGGGTGAGTACTTTGTAGTCTTGAGAAGTTGAGATACCTTAATCTCCTGGATGTTTGGTGAAAGAGTAGGGGTTGTAGCTGGCAATAAGACTGCAGGGTACCCTGCAGATGGGTGAGCCTTCCCCACTGTTGTAGCTCTTAAAACCAAAGTAGTCTGCCCTGTGACTTCCTCTAGTGTTGAAAAGAGTGTGTATGGTTGCCAGGTCCTTGATAAGCAAGCACAAATGGAGAGCTTGGTTGTGAAATAGCCTTATCTCAGTGCTGCCAAGACTGAAGCTGGACCTTCTGATGGACAGGAGCCAGTGGTCTTGTGAAGCCTTTGCCGTTAGTTATACTGCATGTGGACGCTGCTGTGGGAATTACATGTTGGAGCTTTGATCAGTATCCTGAGAGTTTTATGAGAGTCAGGCCTGGAAGAGTCCAACGTGTGGCTCACGGTCACCAAATTCCCAGCTGTGGACAGAAGGCATTTGTGTCACAGTCACTAGCTGACTTCCAAGGAGCTGTGATGTGAGACTATATAATGGGAGATTCTTCCTTTGTTGGGTTTCCACACTGGATAAACAAGCTGTATTTCAAACAATCTGCAGGTATGGGTGTTTTTAGTTATACACCAAAGGGTAAGGCAAGTGCTGTTCAGCTGTCCTGGGTTCAGCAGTAGCAGTAGCAGCTTAAACCATGACACAGGCCAAAGGGAACATGAAGATCAGTTGGTTGTATGAGTTTGCCCTGCTGTTGTAGACTAACTTTTCCTTCTCTGTGTGCTTGTTACTCATATTTAAGTTGTTTTTATGCAGTCAATGGCAAATTAGAGATCCTGCAAAAGGAAAGGATGGTGCTTCTCTCTTACAGTGTTTTGAGGACTGGGAGCAGTTTGCTTCTCGCTTTGGAAAGGGAGGAAACGTGCAAACTGAATACCAGTGACACATCTGCCATAACTGGGGGTCTATCTCTTAAATACACTCCACTCTTGGGCCTGGATCCTTTCAAAGTAGTCTCCTTAAGTACCACACAAGCATGCTGAGAGACAAAACTGGGCTGAAACACAAATCAAATTAGAAGTCTTACTAACAAAGACAATAAGGAGCCAAGCAGAGCTACTGCTCACTAACAGTCCCTGGGGGCAGCTGGAGCCCTGCAGTCTGAGCTCCAGTACACTGCTGTAAATCCAGCATTGTTCCATGTATTGGAAAAGTAATGCTGAAGTGGATTGATTCTTTGTGCCCAGGCTGGTGGAAATCCTGCACTGATTCCAGTGGGAGCAATAGCCACCTTGTATTTATTAATTCATCTTCTGTTACATGAATTTGTTGAAACTGTAGGGAACCTTATTCTTTCCATGAATTTCTGTTGGCCTCAGACATTTAATGGTGGCATTGGCAGCCACGATAGGCTGTGTCTTGAGAGTATGTGATGCTGCCAAGGTCACCAAGAAGTGCTAGGATTTACCTGTGTCTGCTACAGGTTGACAAAGATATTAACCTGCAGTGAAACCTGCAATAGGATCAGGCAGCTGCATCACCTAAGATAAAGAAAGCAACCTGACTGAAATACATTTCTACTCTACTTGCCTTCGAACACCAGCTGCTTGTCAAATGGAAGCCCGTCGCTCTGAACTGTACCCTGCTGATAACTCTCTGCCACTGAAACAGTGTTCTTTGTTTTTCCTTTCTTCTTCCCCATCATTAAGTGTTTTTGGTGGGGATGGACCCGAATGACAAAATTTAGAGGCAGATTTTAACTCGCCTCCAAACATCCCCAAAAATCCTTAGGGAAGAAAAGGAGTTACTTAGTTTGCTCCTTGCTTGGTTCATTTCATACTGTCTGTATTTTTAACTCATTTCTTTTCTGTCATTGAAACAGATGTATATTCATCTAGCATTCCTACATGCTTCCATCATGTTATTTGATTTAAGCAGTCCTTCCCAGCATGAACTAATTACTGATCACG